AAGCAAGGCCACAGAAGGGCAGCAGTGCTGGTGAAGGGTCTGGAACAGAAGATGTGATGAGGAGCAGCCGAGGTTGTAGGGGTTTTTTAGTCTGAAAAGGAGACTCAGGGATGGCCTCATCACCCTCCTCAAGTCCCTGAAAGGAGGTTGTAGGCAGGTGGGGACGGGCCTCTTCTGCCAGGCTACCAGTGACAGGACAAGAGGACTCAGTCTTAAACTGGACCAGGGCGCATTTAGGTTGGACATTCAGAAGAATTCTTTCCTAGTCATGGAGATGAGACATTGGAATGGGCTGCCCAGGAAGGTGGTGGAGTCACCATCCCTGAAGGTGCTTAAAGAAAGACTGGATGTGGCACTCGGTGCCAAGGTCGAGGTACATGCTGGTAATTGGTCACAGGTTGGACTTGACAAATTCAGAGGGCTTTTCCAACGTAATTGACTCCGTGATTCTTAGCTTTTTCCTTTGTAATGTTTCCTTATGTAGGTGAGAAGAAGCTTGGAACAGTGATCACTCCTGATACATGGAAAGATGGTGCAAGAAACACTACAGGTAACCTCAGCAAGGTTTAGCAGCTTGGTTTTGAGGTATTATAAAGCCAGCTGTGCACCTGAGCTATGTTAACATCTTAAGACCAAAACTTTATATTACTAATCATGTTAAATATTAAGTCATGTACTTTCCCTCCCATGCTGATTTAATGCATTGGGAATTTATTTGTCCAGAACTCTTTTGTATTGAATTGGTCTGGTTTTGTTTTCTGGAGTTTTTTTTCTTTCTTGCATGGGAGGACAATACATAGAGTATTTAAACAGAGCATAAAGTGTTCTGTTACCCTGTCTCCAATGCTGTGCTGAATATTTAATCTCTCTTCGTGACTTTATTTGCATATGTGTAAAAGTTGTAAATGAGGATTTTTAAAGTATGCTTGGAATGTTGGAATGGGGTTATTGATTTTTTTTTTTTTTTTAGAAAGCGGTGGTCGCAAATTAAATGAAAACAAGGCATTGACCTCAAAGAAGGCAAGGTTAGTCCTTAATACTGATTTTGGCCAAGAACATCATTTAGCAAACTAACTGAGACCTGTTTCCTACATAGCTGGGCAGCTACTCCAAACTTGTCCAAATACACTTAATAAATTAAAATTGCAGACTTAAGGTATTTGATTTGTCGGTAAAAATATGTCCATACATATTTCATGGGTGCTTTCTGCTCAGTCATGGAGTATTTTGCTGCAGTTCTCACTGGAATTGCTAGGATTTGATGTTTTTGTAGGAGAGAAGCTGAGAATACTTATTTTCTGTGCTAATATTGCCAGGATAATCTCTTGAGCATTTCCTGCATGTCTGCAGGACTTTCTGTTTGCAAGGGGGCAAGATGCTGCTGGGAGGTGTTTAACTTCAAAGTCATTTAGTATCTTAATAAAAATAAATATTTTTTGTTCTGCTTTCATGAAGTTGTCTGTGGTGGAAGAAATGTCTCTCAATAGGGAAAGTGGGAGCTTTTCTGCATACTTTGTGTAGCCTGTTAGAAATAATTCTTGCATGTCTCTTTTCTAAATTACAGTTTTTGCTGGAGTTTCTGACTGCACCCTCTGGCTTAGACTTTTAAAATGAGGCAGAAAAAATACTTCGTTTCAAGGAGTATAAATAAAGTACTTTTCCTTTTTCCCAGGTTTGATCCTTATGGAAAGAATAAATTTGCAATATGTCGGATTTGTAAGAGTTCTGTCCATCAGCCAGGGTCCCACTATTGTCAAGGATGTGCCTATAAAAAAGGTGAGCTTCATTGAGTGCCAAAATACTCCACTTTGGCTTGGTCAAGAGAGGAGGTACAACACTTAAATTTGTATTTGTGAAGAGAAGGTTAAGATGAGATTTAATTGCTATCTTCAGCTACTGATAGGCAGGCACAGGGAACATGGAGTCAGACTCTTAGGTACACAGAAATAGAATAAGAAATAATGTACACAGGTTAGAATGTGGAAAATTCTAATTTCATGCAAGGAAAGCAATTTTTCAGTCTGGGGGTGATCAAATACTCTAGTAGCAGGTACCATCAGTGGTTGTGAAATCTTTAAATCTGGTATTCAGAGAATGGCTTGAACAGTCCTGAGCCAGCCTTATCCAAGTTGGCTGTTTTAAGTGGGGCAGGACTAGAGACTGAAGGAGATTATTTTAAACCCTTGTCATTCTGTAATTCTGCTTCTTTTATAATGTTTCCAGTGTCTGAAATAGTACATTTGGAAACTTAATCTAGGCAATTGCATAGAGAACTCTCATCTAACAAGTTCTAAAACTCAATTGCTTGTTGCAGTCCCTTTTCTCATCCCTTCTCTCCTCTTCCCTTTTTATAATAGCTAAATCTAAAATTCCTAGATGGAAAAAAGCATATCATAAAGTCAGTTACGTGATTTGATGCCAAAGAATTTTATTATAGCACATGAGGTGAACTGTTTTTTGAGTGTAGACCTACAGCTCACCAATAGTAAGTTTTGTTTATGAAATTAAATGTTCAATAAATATGTGCTGTGTCACTGAGTCAGTGGTTTAGCAGCCTGCTGTAGGAATGTTGCCTGCTAGGTCCTTCCCAGACTGAACCCCATTCAGTAGAACCTTGTACTCTCTCTTAAATTTATGTCTGGTTTGGGTGGACTTCAGGATTTGATCTTTGTGTATCTTTTCAGGTTAAACCTGTTATCTTCATAAAATTAAGAACTTTCTAAGTGCTTTAGGTTCTAGCTCTGACCATCAAAGATGTCATTAGGGCATCCTTCTTGAAGCAAATGCATTCATACAGCTCAGTGCTTCAGCTTTTGCATATTTCTGAAATTGAGAAGCAATCTCAAGTTAATTAATCCTTAGTTTAGACCTGAAGTCAATATTTAGTGGGCTGAATTTTGGTCTCCAGAGTAAATCGTGTGCCGTGTTCCCTGCTGTTCTCTTCCCTAATGGACTGCTAGATATGATAGTCATGATGTCAGTATATGAAAGCACACAATTTGGAGAAAGCAGGAGTAGATGCCACTTGACATTTTTTGTCTGCAGCTGAATGTTTGTGTAAATTGAGGTGTGGTCCTACCAGATAAAAGATTTAGCACCTTTCTGCTGTGATAGGAGAGGGAAAGATTGAGACAATCCACCCCTCTGCCAAACTTGTATATATTCTGGTGCTCTGGTCTTTTGACTTGACACTCTTAGAGTTTAGGACATCAGTGTTCATGACTTCAACTCTCCAGTATTCTTGGTGTTTATTGTTTTTCACTCCTTAGTTCTATGAAAACATAATCTAAACTTTCTCAGTTCTCTGAAGCACCCCACTTGTGAATGACCCATTTAACAGTCTGTTGGTAACTGTATTTTCTTAGCCCTGCTACTTTCTGTCCATCTCAAGCCTCGTTTGGCTACAGGATGTAAACCAATTAACAATACACTATTTTTACCTTTTGTCAGAAGTGAGCCTTTCCTGGCTACCTTCAGGCATTCCAGCAAATTGTAGAGGCTTCCAGCAGTATTGTGAATAATAATGCTCTCAAAGTGAAGCTTATTTTCTTCAGTGGAAGGCTTACACACACACTGCACATATTAATTTGTATTAGGAGTTACAATATTACTTCTAAGTTTGTAGTATCTGTTGAGGACATGTCTAAGAATGGATAGATTGCTAATAAGAGCTCATTTGGATAATTTCTTGAAAAAGATGCTTACAAAAACATAGTAACTGTGTTTTTGAGAAAAAATTGTAATAATTTTGAAATAATGTACACACTTTTTCTGTGCTTATAGGCATCTGCTCGATGTGTGGCAAGAAGGTCTTGGATACGAAGAACTACAAACAAACATCTGTCTAATTGTACTGACTAGTCTTTTTATGAATTTTAGCTTCTGTGTCTTTGTACAGTGACTTTTATCTAAAATCATTTGTGAATATTACTTTCTGGAAGATAGTATTTGGATTGAGAGGTAAAGACAGCCTGCTTGCCTAAAATGTACATAATATTTTATTATTGTTGTTTTAGCACTAATATTATCTGGTATTTAAAGGTAATGGCTTTCAGCAACTCTTAGAGTTCAGAGGAAAGGAGAAGATGCAAGTGGATAAGTTGAAACTAAATTACCATCAGAACACAGATCTTTGAGATGAATACTTTTTTTTTCCTTATCACAAGTCTTCTGCTTGTTTCATGGTAATGGTTTGTAGATTAAATATGAACTTGCATCACCTCATTAAAGTATCTTCATTTAGTTATATGCCTATAAGTATTTATAATTATTCTCATCCCAAACTATTGTGACCTTGCTCTTTGGATTTTAATGCAATTGTCCTGTTGTATTTTGTTTCTGCCTACAGTATGGTTGGTTAAATCACAAATTTTTAAGCTAGTGAAATCTAGTGTGTTGCCCTGCCAGTTCTTTCTGTGGCATTGTTGTGGTTTAGCCCCAGCCAGCAATCAAGTCCCACAGAGCTGCTCCCTCACTCCCCCACCGTCAGAATTGGGGAGAGAACTGGAAGGGTAAAAGCTTGAAAATGTGGGTTAAAGACAGTTTAATAGGGAAAACAAAACATAGAATTAATTCAGTACTTCCCATAGGCAGGTGGGTGTTCAGCCATCTTCAGGAGAGCAGGGCCCCATCACACATTATGGCTTCTTGGGAAGACTAACTCATCACTCAGAATGTCCCCCCTTCCTTCTCTTCCTCCCACTTCGTACACTGAGGATGGTGTCATATGCTCTGGAATATCCCTTTGATTAGTTGGGGTCACCTGTCCTGGCTGTGTCTCCTCCCAACTCCCCAAATACCCCAACTTCCTTCCAATTGTGGCAGTGCAAAAGGCAGAAAAGGCCTTGGCTCTGTGTAAGCCCTGCTCAGCAATAACAAAAACATCTTTGTATTATCAACTCTGTGCTCAACACAAATCCAAGACAAAACCCCAATAACCCACTAACAGCGAAGAAAACAAACTCCACCCCATCCAAAACCAGCACAGGCATTAGGACTTATCAGCTATTCCCTTGTTAGCCTCCAGGGAGTCTTTACATATGGTATCAGGTGGCCCAAAGCAATAAAATAATGAGCATCACTTTCTAAATATCTCAGTCTCACAATTTTCTAAGTTAGTCTGTCTTTTAAATATTGGGTTTAAATTCTATGATGTAATTGCTTATATATATGTCAAATATAGAAGATCAAAGCGGGCTGATTTTTTCAGCTCTGGTTTGATACAAGGAGTTAATCTCTGAACATGAGAGGCTGACTGTGGCTCTGCAATTCTTTGGCTTTTGCTTAGTTTCTACATATGAAAACAATTTCTGTTATGGAGCATAATAACTACTCCCTTTGCATGTATTTTAAGAAAAAGAATTATTCATTCTTAATTCATGGTTAATTTTTAATTCATTCTTAATTTAGGGCAAAGAATTATTAATTCTTAATGCATGGTGAAGTTTTTACTAGACCTATTTAAGTGTTTATTCCCTTGCAATTTCACGCTTTTGCAACTGTCTTTCAACTGTAACAGAAAAATTATCAATGGGAATTTCCCTAAGTACAAATTCTGTTTTGGGTTTCCTTTTGTTCTCACTTTATTACAGAGGAAACTACATGACTAATGGAAACTGACAAAATTGCTGTTCTTTCTGTAGGGCAAAATAAAGAACACTGGGCTTATAGTTGCTGTTGCCTTCCTACCATGCAGTAGTTGTGCTGTAATTAGCCCTTTAAAGGGAATTGACTAACATTTCATGTCATCCTTATCTATCCATTTTTAGGCATTTATCACCAAATTTTCTCATTCAAATGTGTTGGCTTCCTGCAGTTGCTAAAGAGGTAATTATTTTTGACATTTTATATTTGCTGAGAAGCTTTGTCAGGATAGTGGAATGAGCTGGGCTTCCCCAAAGAATAGAGGATTGCTGCTGCTTTTTATTGCAAAAGCTTCTCCTACTGTAACAACTGCATGGAGGTACACGGATTAGCTAGCTGGTGATAACTTGGTTTCCAAACACATTAAGAAATTCCTGTATTAGTGTATATCACTACAAACTTCTCACCTTTATATGGGTGAGAAGAAAATGTCTGTAATTGGCTTCAAGTTTCACATCAAATCTTGTCAGCAGTGTGTGTGACAATTTCAGGTGGCAGGTTCTCCAATAATCCCTGAACTCTTCAGCCTTTATGGATATGTGCTGTAAGATTGATTGGTTTTTGCTGTTCAGTGAATAAAACTTCTCTCCCTAAAACAGGCCAGTATCTCTATTTCAAAAGCATGGCATCATAATTCTTGAATAAATTGGCATGAATTGAATGTTTATTGCATTCTGTAAATATTGACATTGAATGAATGAATACCTCCTTTTGAAGGAGGTATTGAAGATTGAAGAACAACAGGAATTTAAAGAATATGATGCTTGGTTCATAATTATTTTGTGAACTGAGCTTTTTTGCATATGTGTACTATTACTGGAAGCTGCTTTTGCATGTTAGAATCTATTTTTGTTGTAAAAGGACATGTTTTGATTTGGTGGGGTTTTTTTAATGGTAGATACAAACTGTTCTGTTTTTGTGGTCGTTTTTACATATTTAGGATCTTTCATCTGTAGTTCTCAAAGGTCCTTGGCTTCATGAGAGTATCAGTTCCTGAGATCTGTAAATTTTGTTGCTGTAACACTCAACTTTCAGAAAAGCTCATCTTCCAAGCATTATTTTGAAGTCTCACTGCTTTAAATTTAGATCACAAGCCATCCATCTCCTGAACCTCAGAGATGTACCACAGTTCAAGGCAGCCTTGGCAGAGAAGCACTTAAGCTATTAAACTTATATCCACACTCTGTATAATTGAATTGTCATATATAAAAGCATATTGTTGATGCTAAAATTGTTTTGTAAGCATGGGATGTCCTTCCTGAGACAATATGCAGTGAAAACCAAAATTTGTAATGAAAAATTGCCAATTTTGTTTAATGTACTGAGAAGAACACAGGAATATTCCCAGAGATGATCAGCCTGTCTTCTAAATCACAGGTTACATAAGAGATTTGTGCTGCCAAATTTAGGATTAGAATTTTCCTCGGTACTGCTGAATTCTTATTATATACAGTCCTTGCTGTTCCTTTGTGTGTTTGTTGGCCAGAACTATTACTGAGCTAAGTGTAAGCAACATTTTGGTGCAGAGTTTGAAGACAACAGATTAGCTACATAATGTCACTGTGACTGGAGAAGCCAATCAGCTGAAAATTAAACAGCAGCTATTGAAGGGTCCTTGTTGTGTTAGGGTGTTCTCCCATTCATTCCCATGTTGTTTTAGTTTTTTAACCCTGCTCTTCCTGCTGCAGAAGCTGGAGAAAGGACCATCCAAGAATGATCATTTGGCAATACTGTTCCAAAGCATTAAGACTGTTTTAATTGTTTACTTATAGAAATGTGGTGTTTTTTTCCCTCTTTTGTTCTTTCTGTTCCGTCATCAGCAGAAAAAACAACCAGAAAGACTTTGTCTTCTATACAAGGGCATTACTGACCATGTTGTGCTCAGTTTTTCTTGAAAATGGACCAGACTAAATGTTGCTTTTTTTTTTTTTTTTCCAAAATAAGAGATGTGCAGGTTTCAAATGCTAAGTCTGTTGTTGCACCTGCTAGTTCTGGCATCACTCCTATCATCAGCCCATCTCTCTGCAGTGCTTCAGATTGTGCAAATCTTCCAGTTCTGCTCTGCCTGTAGATGCTGAGGCCATGACCCTCTGCCAATCTCCCCACAGTCCTGGGCAAGGACGGCTGGTTCTTTTGTATTATCAGTGGTCATTAAAGCTATATGCAAAAGTTGAAACACAGCTGTTCAAAGTAGTGCAATGAACCATGTTGCTTTATTTTCCTAATACAAAGCTGTAAGTTTCCTAGATACACAAGTTTCCCCAGCATGAGAGATTCATTATTCATGAAGGATGATCGCCAAGAGATAAGCTCTTTACATCTATAATGACAAAATTTAGTTTATGATAGGGTCTCTATGCGGTGAATAAAATTCTGAAGCTACCAAAGTCTTTAAAATTCCCCTTGACAAAACTGCTTTTCTTGGATTGGAACTGGGCTTCATGATTTCATGTAAGTATATCAAGCCTAAAGGATGTGCCTTTTTCTGTCATTTGCCTTGGCTGTTGAAGAATCCAAGAGTGGTTTTCGGCACTGACCTACCAGTTGCTTAATAGAACTGTCTATTCAATGAGCACTGGTTCAGCATGGGGACATGAACATACCTCCTTTGCTTATGAGTTTCTCACAAGATCACTGGTTTAGAAAATAAATAAACATGACTAGGTGCAAAAGGGAATAGTGGTACCAGGAAAACTCTCTCTGAATATCATGAGAGAATGACAACATTGCTGCATCACAGCTGAAGTTTGTTATTAAGCAAAAGTATTTTTGCTCTCCCAATCAGCAGAGCTGGTTGGACAGTGTGAGAAAGCCTGATTGCAGCGCTTAGAAAAACAGACCCAAGTGTTTTTGTGGGGGTTATAGCTGTGCCTCATGTGAAGACCAGTTGCTTTTTAACTGCTTGTCTTCCTCTCAGATGTGTGCTTTTATGGACAAAGCTGTCATCTGAAATTTGTCAGGCACTGGTTTTTTATCAACTTTTATGGGAGGGGCCCTAGTTTGTTTTGCAGAACGTGTGTTAATTGTGTCTGGCTAATGCAGAAAATGCAAGTGCTCTGTTGACAGGGAGTGCTTACTTCTTGCACTTAAGGGCAACAGAAAAAGCTGTGTTCAAGGATCCTGGAAGAATCTGAAATCTTGCCAAGCAACTGAATAAAGGAATGGATGGATAAAGTATTCTTCATGTGGGTATTGCTAGTAAAAAGTTACTTTGTTACATGGTTCAGAAAGACACTACTGACATTTGATTTTTTGCCTTAATGCCATTTGTGATGAACAGTAAGTAGATTTTTCAGACACTGGTGACTCGATGACCAAATACCTACCTAATTAGGCAGCCATTTTCAGACTGGCTTTCTAGTAGAAAACTTCTCAAAACCACTCCTTCCTTTCTGTCCTCTCTTTGCACTAAAAGATGCAAACTGAACTTTGCAATGTTAGTGACTCATTAGGCATCAGCGCTTCCAGCTAATGCACTTGCTGTGTGTTCATCTGCCAAGTGCCATTGGGAAAACAATTGTTGAGGAGGGTTTGTTTTCTGCAGCATCACGGTGCTGATGATTCAATATCAGTATTGTTAACTGTTTCAGGTCACATGCAAAGACACAGAACTCCCATTTGCCATTTTCTGCTGGCTAATGGGTCCCATCACATGCATCTTAAATATATCGTTACCAGCTCAGTCTCCAGGAAATCATTACTTGCTGTTGATTTTTGGTTGCTCCTTTTGCTGCCATAGAAGGTAAAGATTTTAAGTTGATACAGCTCCCAGATTGTGTCATGGATATTTACAGTTCTGATATGTTTACTACTGTTCAGTAACTCAGCAGTGCAAATAAGACTAGGTGTGACAAAAGGCATGGATCTCAGGGAGTTGGCTTCTAGCCTGGTCTAATTGTCATATTTTATTGATTAAAATATTTAAATGCTAATTGGATTAAGCAAAGACTTTACTTTGACATCTTACATTGTCTTTCTGTGGGAGGCTTTTGAAAAAGTGATGACATGACATTTCAGTGATGAATAGCCTTCATTTTTATGGCTTTCAAAAGCATTGTTTCCTAAAGGATGGGAAGGCAAGCATACTGATATAAGGGAACAGTTCTTCTACTGATTTTCAGATTGGTTTGGTTTGTTTGTTATTAGAGTTCCAAAGAAATCTTTGAAAGATCAGGCATATTTTGTTTATACAGTGATGTCAGCCTGAGTTTGAAGTGAGCCTGAAGCTGTGACTGAGTCGCTCTGCCTTAAAATAGAACTTTGTTTTTGCTGCCTTGTCATCAGAATATGTGAAATATAAATTCAGAGACTCACCAAACTAGCACATTTCCCAGCCTATCTTAGAAATAGTGGCCAGGTAAGTAGATAAGTATAAATTTACATAAATTTGGTAGGGCTGCCCTGGAGACAAAAGAAGGGGGCATCATGTACACAGTCCATGTGGCATCCTGCAGTGCTGTTGTGGAGGCTCCAGGCAGAGGAACTCCTGGCAGTAGCTAAAGAAAAAGGTGTCTGCTAGTGAGGGCAACAGAATTCAGGTTGTAGAAGTCAAAGTATTCAAATTTAATTTCTATGGCAAATTCTAAAACGTTACAGTGAACTTTGTGAGTGAATATTTGAGGCTTCTAGGAAACCTTTGTAGAGAACAGCAAATGAAATTCATTCTCAAGTTTTTGCTGCTAATATTCACAACCCTCCTCCCCCCAGCCACTCTTTTTTTTTGGGATCCAGATTTCCTGGGTAACATACAAGCATTTGTTACTGGTGGACTTTGAGTAAGTGCAGTACTGATAGTTGCACTAAGGAAAAATAGATGACCAGGTATTATGACACATGAATTAAAAAGAAAAAAAAAAGTTTTTAAAGACTGTCATATTCATTATAAAAAAGAAACCTTTAAAAATTATTTATCTTAGCTGAATTAAAAACAAATGGTCATGCAAATATTAAGGTTAAGAACCAGTTTGCAATCTCCATACTTTTTTATTCTATGAAATATTTCTGAAGATTGTGTTGTTTTGGTTTTGTCTTTTTGAGAAACAGGTGGGGACCAGGGACATTTTTTAAAGTTTATTCTTACTTAAGCAAATAATTAAAAGTTTAAAATCCTTTCCAGTATAAGGCTGTGTATGGCAAGGTCGTGAAGATTCATTAGAGGTGAATATATAGGTTAGCCAGGTTTTGACAAGTGTGCTTGCCACATGCTAGCTGTGAAATGCAATTCTATAAGCACTGTTCAACCATGAAATGCCAGGACCAGTAAAAGTGTGTGGAACACAAGTGCACACTTCTGTCACTGACCACTCAGTAAACATTCATTTTCCCTTACAATCCCACACCAGGTGGATAGATCAGAACCACTCAGCTGATTTGTCCAAGGCTGATGAGGAAGTTGGTGTCAGGTTGGGGTAGGAACTGACTGAAAAGAGCTGTGGCATGTGTAGTTTGCTGGGAGATGCCTTGTCTCTGTGTGCCCTTTCCACGTGCAATCTTTTGGTACCTGTATGACCAGGGCACAGTAAGACAGGAGTTTGACACAAGAAGTGTTTTAGTGAAGGAGTTAGTTTGAGAAACCAATACAGCAGAATTTTCATAT